GCCGCTCATTTGGCTTGTTTTCAGATAGGAGGTGGGAACAAAATTGGAGTCTAAGCCAGTCTTCCCTAGGCTACATTCGCACCATCCCAACACTACCCAGCCTTGTTTCCTGGTCCACCCCAGAAAACTCAAGGATAAGTTTTTACTTTCAAGCCTCAAACCTTTCCCTCATTGCCAGTGTAGTTTCCTGTCCTAGACAGGGGCCACCTGTTGGTCTTCAGGCTTTTAAGACTGCCAAGTGGTGGCACCTCTCTGCACACGGGTAACACCACAAACACTTCAGGGGAGACTCTTTATTCTTAGAATGGAACCTGGAATCCTTTTCCTCTTGCCCTGCCTGCCCAATTTAGCTCTTTGCAACAGGAATTTGGACTTGGCCAAGAGAGGCAAGGAGATATTCTGAGCTGAAGAGCCTCTGCTCTGGCGGGAGCCACCTGTCAGAGGGCAGACAGGAAGCAAGAGTGTGACAGGAATCCAGGGACTGCTGCCCTTTGTCCCACAAAGGCCTGGGAGGGAACCTGAGCTGGCGGCAGCAGCAGCAGGGCAGTTAGTGTGAGAAAGGTGACTCCTTGGTCACTGGCATTGGCTGCTGACCCCGCAGCGCTGCTCACAACCATCTGTAACGATGGTTCCAGAGGATCTGATCCCCTCTTCTGGCCTCTTCAGGCACCAAGCACTTAGATACGCGCAAGAAAACACTCATAACACATAAAATAAAACGTCTTTAAAAAATTAAAAGCTGTTGGAATTGGACATGAAAGAAACTGGGTCCTTTCATCAAAAAGAGGCAGTCTTTACTGGAAAGAGCACCCTGAAGTAATTAGCAGGTAAATCCTTTCCCTGATGGATCCAGTGTTTTCAAGGGTTAGTCTGGCCATCTCATGGTGTGGGCTAATTCTAGGAGTGTCTGTGGAGTTGCAGGAATGTTCCGGGATAAGAGGTGACTTTCGAATGTAAAACTGACTGTGCCTTAGCATCACCATGTCCAGTGCCCTTGGGGCAGCTGGTGATGTCCAGGAGAGTGGATACCTGTTCCAGAATTTAGGTGCCTGTTTGGGCTGTTGATTTGGAGGTGGTCTGCCTTCTCTACAGGTTGGGTGTCAGAGCTGGTATCCCAAGAGACTTGGAACAGCTTGTCTGCGGTTCACACAAACTCAACCCTTGCAGCTCCAAGTAGAATCTAACTGGCATACTGCAGCTTGCAAGCATGCGGCACTTCTAGACACTACTTTGAATGGGAGTCACACATTGACAAGAGCACCAGGCAAAGCATGGTGCTGTCCTCCTGGAGAGTACAGGCTAGCCCCTCCGAGGCAAGCTTGGGCTCTCCTTCCTTACCCCTTCCCAGGGTGCAGCTGAGACCCTTCTTGAGTAAGCATATGTTCCTTGCTGCTGACCTGGTCTCCATCTTCAAGAAGCTAGAACTATCCAGACAGATTCATTGTAGATGCCAAGTTGGAATTCTGAGCTCAGATACCTTAACCACAAGAGGCAAAAATCTGCTTGTGTCCCAGCCCTGTCCGCAGGCCACCCGTCCTCCCTCTGCCCTGAGTCAGCTCTAGCAGGCAAGGCCTGGATGCCTCCTAGCACTGAGTGGAGCTAGCCACTAAGGACCATTTCTACTTGGATCACCACTCTCCCTCTGGACTTGAGATGCCTCTAGCAGGAAAAGGCATCAGTTGGGTTGGATGTATTTATGTGACTGCGGGCATTTGTGGCTATAGAGTCCTTGACCATAATGTTATATGTAATGGGAACTATCTTATAAACTTGAAAAAAATAAAATTTTTATTTTCTATACAGTTTTCTCCTTTGTCTTTTCTAAATAGGGTTAGTGCTGTGGGATGTTCTGTATGGCAAATGTGTTGCTCTGATTGGTCAATAAATAAAATACTGATTGGCCAGTGGCTAGGCAGGAAGTCTAGGCAGGACTAACAGGAGAAAAGAAAGAACAGGAAGGCAGAAGAGTCACTGCCAGGCGCCGCCAGGACAAGCAGCATGTGAAGATGCCGGTAAGCCACAAGCCACATGGCAGGGTATAGATTTGTGGAAATGGATTTATTTAAGCTGTAAGAACAGTTAGCAAGAGGCCTGCCACGGCCATACAGTTTGTAAACAATACAAGTCTCTGTGTTTACTTGGTTGGGTCTGAGCGGCTGTGGGACTGGCGGGTGACAAAGATTTGTCCTGACTGGGCCAGGCAGGAAAACTCTAGCTACATGTTAGTCCAGTTGCCGAGCTGTGCAGGGTCCTAATCAGGGCTTCATTAAGAAAGATGTCACCCTTTCAATAACTGGGTCATTAATTTCACACATACAAAAAGTTGGAAAACAAGGAATTGTTTTTATTTAAATTGTTTCTAGAATGCACTGCTTTTTAAGGTGTAGAAATGGAGATTTCATGAGCTGTCAAGTGTACTGAACTGTACTAAAGACAAGTCAGTCTGTGCTAAGCATAAGCTGCAAACCAATAAAACTAACATGAACCTTTAGATTTCATGTCACACAAGCCAGTTTTTCTCCATTCCTTCACATTGGTCTGAGTGGCCTTTACTGGCCTGAACAACAGCCAATGAAGGAAATTAGAATTTGTTTCTGAGGGTCAGAAATGTCAGACCAATTTCCTCCAGAAAGTGTGAAGTCATCTCGTACCCTGGTTAGTATTTCAAGCCACAGTGCTGCTGAAGCTGACTGTTAGCTGTTGTCTGCATCCTGCTTGTTACAAGCACAGGTTCCAAGTGTTGACTGCCTTCCAAATCCCAAGAGCAAGCATCTCCATCTCCTCCTGACAAAACATTTCTCCCACAAACCCTTCCCTGACATGTAAATCTTTTTCATTTTTCTTTCTTTTCTTTTTTAGACAAAGTTTCTTTGTGTAGCCCTCGCTGTCCTAGGACATGTAAATCTTAAAGTGGTTTGTTTTTCTAAAACAAGTTTCTTCATGTTTAAAAGTTCTTGGAAGCCGGGCGGTGGTGGCGCACGCCTTTAATCCCAGCACTCGGGAGGCAGAGCCAGGCGGATCTCTGTGAGTTCGAGGCCAGCCTGGGCTACCAAGTGAGCTCCAGGAAAGGCGCAAAGCTACACAGAGAAACCCTGTCTCGAAAAACCAAAAAAAAAAAAAAAAAAAAAGTTCTTGGTCGGGAGCTGGAGAGATGGGCCAGCAGGTAAGAGCACTGGCTGCTCTTCCAGAGGACCCAGGTTCAATTCCAAGCACCCACATGGCAGCTCAGAACTGCCTGTAACTCCCATTTTCAAGGGATCTGACACCTTCACACAGACATGTGTGGGCAAAATACTAATGCACATGAGATAAAAATATATTTTTTTTAAAATTAGTGGTCAGGTATGGTGTTCCTGTCTTTAAACCTCAGAAGCTGAGGCAAGATTGTCAAGACTTTGGGCGAGCCTAAGCTACATGTGTGGAACCTTGTCTCAAATGACCAAAACCAAAACCAAATATAGATATATTGATATATATGTCAATGGGAATCTTCAAGGACATTTTATAATTACAGGTAATATCACTAATCTCTAAACTTTAAAAACAACTTTGTATGGTAGTACACCAATAATCCCAGCAATTGGGAAATTGAAGCAGGAGGATAATGTGTTCAAAGTCATCTCGAATAGGATAGACAGACTGTTATAAACAAGGCTAACTGTAGTAACATGCATTTCTTTTTAAAATTTTTTAAAAGCTGGGGGGGGGGTGGCACACACCTTTAATCCCAGCACTTGGGAGGCAGAGACAGGTGCATCTCTGTGAGTTCAAGGCCAGCCTGGTCTACAGAGTGTGATCCAGGACAGGCACCAAAACTACACAGAGAGACCCTGTCTCAAAAAAAATTTGTTTAAGTGTTTTTGTGCCTGTATATGCATGTGCAAAGGCCAAAGGAGAATGCTGGGTCCCCTGAAGCCAGAGTTACAGGCAGTTGTGAACTCCCCAGAGTGAGTTCTGGGAACCAATCCTCCGGAAGAGCTGGGAGAGCTCTTAACTGCTGAGCCGTATCTCCAGCCCCGGCCCTGACGTGTTTAGTTCCAGCACTTGATAGATGGCGGCAGGAGGATCAGGAGTCCAACCTCCGCTGTGTGATGTGTCCAAGGTAGCTTAGCTCTCTAAGCCCCGTTTCAAAAACACTAAGTGTGCATCACTGTGTATTAGGTAGAATATGTAACTTTATATAGTACATGACTATGTACTTTAGGTAGTAGAACACACTGTTTGGATTTAATACACATAATCATCATTTGACAACTTCATCTGGAATACAGATGAAAACTCAGCCAAAATTAAAATTCTAAACACATCTGGTTTTGCTTTCTTTGAGACAGAGTCTCATGTAGTCCAAGCCGGCCTCTATGTCACCGAGGAGGAGTTTGAACTCGTGATAATCTTGTCCAGAATGGTAGGTACTCCACCCTGGCCCAGCCCGCTACAGATCTTACCCCTTGTATAAATGAGGTAAGAATGATTTCAGGTGTGTACCCCCAGAGGCGTGCCTTTATAAAATGGCCCCTTCTGATGTAATCACATCTGGTCTTCATGAGGTGGTGGGGATTGCCTTGCATGCTCTTTTAACATCAACAATTACTTTGGCTGCTTCTACTGGTCTATGAAATTCAAGTCTGGAGAATTAGGCTTTTCTGTCCATTTTCTGTATGAGAAGCGCCACCTTCTCCCAGAGCCTCTCGCCCGACCCCCGCTTGCATCTCTACAGCCTGGTTAGCTGTGGGCCAGCAGCACTCCACAGTCCTCTCCCAGAGGGATTGTCCCACAGGACCAGCACTTGCAGAGATTCCTCTTCACCAACATACCACACGACTCTGGACTCTGAAGGCCGCCGACCCTGCCAAAGTAGCTCGCTCTGCCCCGTCAGTGCCTCAGTCTCTCAGAGAGGCCTTCTCTAACTGTTCTGTGTAAAGCTGTAACGCCCACCACACACACACCCTCTCACCTCTCTTGCCTGGTTTGCTTTCAGCACTCGACACTATGACACTACATATTTTGGTCACACTGTTTATTTTACCTCTACACCAATAACTGACTGGTAGAAATATCTTAGGTCCCAGCACTGGGAACTAGAACCTTTTCTTCTGTCTCTGGCACCTTTTTCCTGTTTCCTGTTTCACCAGACCACAGATTTCCCAGAGCAGAACACTCCCTCTCCCCAGAACCATCGATCACATCCACATCCCAGGAATCGCCTCTGACCTATGGAGGGGACTCCCAGTACTTTACCTTCCACCCAGCCTCTCAAACTCACCTTCTAGTCCTAAAGATGCTACTCTGCAGGCCCAGAGGCAGAGCTGCTAAGACAGTGCACTAGAGTCTGCCCAGATGTGAGTCCTGCTGCCTGCCAAATGAGCAACCTACTCTGGCTCACCAGCTAATGCATCTTGCAAAGCAAAATGGGATATTTTGTACACTGTGTGATGATCTATTGCTGTGATTGGTTTAATAAAGACCTGAATGGCCAACAGCTGGACAGGAGTTTAGGTGGGACTTCTGGGCAGAGAGAGAGGAAACAGATGAGTCTAGGCGCCTGATACGCCAACAAGACATGGATTGAGTTGTACATACAGAATGAAAGAAAAGTAAAAAGCCACGAGGCAAAACATAGATTAATATAAATGGGTTAATTTAAGTTATAAGAACTAGTGGGACAAACCCAAGCTTTCATAATTAATAAGTTTCATTATTTTGTGGCTAGCTGGTGGGACAGAGAAAGGCTAGCTACATTTGCTGCCCAACATGGGGCTCAAACCCACAACCGTGGGATTAAGAGTCACATGCTCTACCAACTGGAAGGGGAAATGTTGCAGGAGAATTGTTGGTATAGCCATTCCACTGTGTCAATAAAGCCACCTTATGAAGTCAGTGATTGGCTGTTCGGGATTAGCCATAGAGTTCTTGAAGGACTCATGCGGTCTGCTAGAGAGGACAGGAAGAAAGAAGAGAGGATTTCTGGGGAGGTAATTTGGGAAACATGGAGAAAGGGTCAGCAAATTGATTCTCCAATGTCCTTGGATTTACTAGGTCTTCATCTTAATTTCTGATTCCTGAGTTTTTATTATACTGGAACAATTTAGATATTCATTACAAAGTCATACCTAAGCCCGCCCACATCTCTATTCCAGGGGTCTGTACCAGTTTTACAGGTTCCAGGTCCCTGCCACCTGTCTATAATAGAAAGGGTGATGGACTGTACTTAATGGTACATACTGGAGAACTTCATGCGGTTTTAATAATACTGTTAAACACATGCGCACATGTTTTCTTCCTTTCACAGATTGAGGTAGGAGGTATGTATGCTAGCTAGAATGAAAAATACTCAACAGATAGTACATGGCCTAGACCACAGGTCCATAAGGCACCTGGTTTTAAGGAGGCTTAAGACCCACAGTAGAGACAGCTGCATCTCGACCCTGGAGGGGCTGGGGTCACCACTGGCCTCTGGCCTCTGAAATCAGATTTGTCCAGTGGGTTATCGAGAGGCGCTCGGGCTGCCGCCGATTCAACAGTTAGAATGATGCTCCCAGAACTTCAAGCGCCCTCAGGATTTGTTGATTGAAGTGAATGGATAGGGTGGGGTAGGGAAGACAGGGAGAACATCTCCCAGCACCCCAGGGCCTTCTAGAGCAGGCCAGAGAGCCCAGGAGACGGGACACCTCCACCAGGTACCTGAGAAGTGAGAATGCAAACCAGAGGCTTTGGGGACAGCAGCTCTGTTGGTTGGACAGGAAGAGAATGGCTGTATGTGATTGGCCTGTGGCCCTTCCAAGGCCCAGCTCCCCACATCTTCCCCACTGACTGAGTCAGAACCTGCCTCAAAGGACTTCTTCCCCCCCTCCAATCTCTGGAAGAGAAACCTCCGCTTTGACCTTAGGGAAGAAGTTGCGTGCTAACAGAGTGGCGCGCCTGTTATAAAGCGGCTTAGGCCGTGGTGAAGGAAGGAGACTTCGGACCCCATCCACTTGGTCGGGTTCCCATTGGCAGTGAGGGTGCAACCAGAGGTAGTAGATCACACGCAGAGTCAGTCCCAGGAGGAAGCAGACTCCTCCCACAATCAACCACATCTGCAAGAAGGTCCCACTGGGCAGCCAGGTGCTGCGGGTCACCCAGGTGCTGGTCAGCAGCACACTGTCACTGAGGATGAAGACCAGGTGGATGACGGACCGGCCTCGGGTGCGGCCCCCAGCCACATTGAACCAGGAGAAATAAAGGATGATTGCCACTGTCACCCGGTAGAGCCACTCAGATCTGGAGTTTGGCATAAATTTTGTGCCTTGAAGCCAGACCCAGAACAACAGTACCAGCCACAGGCTGAGGAAATGCAGGGCCACATAGTAGGGGAAGAGAGCCGAGAACAGGGCAACGGCCAAGATCCGGGGCCCCAGGAGCAGCAGGTTCCACAGGAAGTAGACGGCAGAGGAGCTCCAGCCCAGGCGGGGCTTAGAGGGTAGACAAGCACGCAAGGCCCGGTGGTAGTCCAGCAGTGCCCACGAGATGCCCAGGAAGGAGGAGCTGATGCCAAACCCTACCAAGAGCAAGAAGAAACAAGTCAGCCTTGACTGCAGTCTGCCTGGCACCCCCCAGGGCTCACAGGAACCCTCGCAGGGTTCTAGAAGCCCCAAGTTGTTCAAGAGATGTTTGGAGAGGGAGAACCTCCAGTTAAGTTCCAACCAAAGAGCGAGCGCTCTGGCAGCGTTCAGAAGGATGGGAGACCTGTGCCGTAGCCCTAAGCCTCTTCTAGGTCCTGGAACTCTTCCATGCCCAGACCCTGGGAACAGAATTAGCAGCTCCAGTCCCCTTTCTCCATGTCAGAAAGTAGACAGAAGATCTCATGGAGTAGCAATGGACTTCCTGCAGCTGTCCTCAGGACTGGGAGCAATGGCCTGCTTCCCCACCCGTCCTTCCTCTTCTCCATGTCCAGCTTGGCCCGTTAGGCTGACTTTCCAAGATCCAATGATAGGGGTCCTATCCCACCTCTGACCTGCCTACCTTGGACTGGGTGGAGTGGCTTGAGCATGCCCTATAACGTGTCTTCCCTCACCTCTTCTAATTGATTCACTCGACAGAAGTCTGCTGAGAGCCTGCTGTGTGCCCAGAACCCGCCTGTGGCCTGGCACTGAATCTGTAGCCATCCCTTCTCTGACTCACCCAGGCCTGCTCCTCACCCTGCAAACCCCAGCTTGAATAACTTCTGGGGTTGCCCTTTTAGACCCGACTCTGCAGCCAGAGTCCCTGCAACAAACCACCCACCCCATTAACATAGCAATTACCTGTTTTGCTTATTTGTTTTTGAGACAGGGTTTCTCTGTGTAGTCCTAGCTGTCCTAGAACTCTCTCTCTCTCTGTAGACCAGGATGGCCTTGAATTCAAAGATCCGCCTGCTTCTGCCTCCTGAGTGCTGGCATTAAAGGCGTGCGCCACCACGGCCCAGCCTGTTTTCTATTTATGAGCTCCTGATAATAACTGTTTGCTCAATCAAAAGTTGAGAAAAACCTGTCTCCCCATGCTCGACCAACAGTGTAGATCATCCCCACCTGGTTCTGATCTCAAGGAAACGCCATGCACCTAGTGAGTGCTGATACGAGCAGCTCACCTTTCTGCACCTTCTTAAGTGAAGTGAGGGGTTCTCGCAGGTCCCACTGTGAGTGATGACCAGACAGGTTCCTTGGGGAGCTGCTGCAGAGGACCTTGAGGTATGAAGGGATGGGGAAGAAAAAGGGAGCCCTGGGCTCCCAATTCAGTGTGAGGCAGAGCCTTGCTTAGTCCCAGGCTGGGCCCTTGGTCTCGAGGAAGTCCCTCCCTCCCAAGGCTCTTCACTGTACAGATTTCTCTGAGGGTTTATGGGGCCCTATGAGTCTCTGCCACCTGTCTCTTCCGGTCCCTCAGTACACCTAGTGTAACTATTTGTTTTACAGGCTGGGTGGAGGCTCTGTATCTTGCTCACCACTCTGTCCCCACCACAGTGACAGACAAAGAGAAAATATGAGTATCTAAAGGTTCTCTGTAGGGAGCAGGTGAGGTCCTGATGTGTGTTATTGACATGAGCATGGCCATGCCAGACTCCAGTGCCTCGGACCCATGGGAATGGCAAAGACTCCTGGTCTAAGTACAGATGTTTAAAAACAGCTGGCCTTTAGCTAAAACCAGTACATACAGAATCTTCAAATGTGCTGCTTCGGAGCCCCAGGCCCATCCTCGGGCTAGCATTTTCGTGTGTCTGTTGTCTCGGATTGCCAGTTAGGTCAGTCCCTCCGCCATGCAGGTTGAATCCGTGCTCAATAAGATCTACATTACCTAGCAAACCTATCACGTGCCGGTTACCTATAGAGTTTATTTATTGTCATCAAAATAATAAAAAAGTACAGCACTGGGGAGGCAGAAGCAGGGGAATTCTGTGAGTTTGAGGCCAGCCTGGTCTATATAATAAATACCAGTCTAGCCTGATCTACATAGGGAGAACCTGTCTCCAAAATAAAAGATGGAGAGCAATTGAGAAATACACCTGACGCTGACCTCTGGTTTCTGTAATACACACATACACCTGCAAATACACACCAACATATATTCACACACACACAAACACACACACACACACACACACACACACACAGATACATCATGTACCAGGCCCTGGGCTTTATATGCATCCCCCACCTTTAATCTTCTCACCACACCCCACGAGAAAGGTCTGTTGACCATGCCCACTGCTCAGAAGAGAACAGATAGCTTGAGTCACTTTTCTCACTTCATGTAGCTTGAAAACGACCAGATTTGGATCCAGATCCACTACCTAGTGCTCAGCCTCCCTGTTTCCTTTTTGTCCACCTAGGAGCGAGAGCGCCGCTGACATCAGAAGGCCCAGCACTCACATTGGTAGTATTCGGCATTGCCACTCTGCAACACGATAGCCAGCACCAGTGTGAGCTGTGGTGTGGACTCCAAGAAATTCTCAAAGAGCCGCAGCATGCTGATGTCCAGGGAGAGGAAGTCTGCATAGGCCATGTCACTCTCAGAGGGCAGCTCCTGCTGCCACATGAGCAGCACCTGCTGCAGCCCCTGCAGGCACCTAGGCAGAACACAGAGACGCCCGGCGGGCCAGGTCAGCGCTCTCTCAATTCCTCCGTTTCCTACCACTGAGTGCACGGAGGTAGCTTCAATCCCAGCTTGTAGATTAATTGCTGTGGAGCCTTTTAGTCAAGCCACCTAACCTCAAGGAACCTGTTTCCTCATCCATAAAGTGGGGACATACAACGTCTCCTCTTGCTGGTCAGGCATGGTCCCAAGTTTATCAACTCACAAGAGCCCCATTGTAGAGATGGGAAATGGAACTAAGACGCAAATAAGGGGCCTGAGAGATGGTTTAGCAGCTGATTGCATTCACTGCTCTTACAGAGGACCAGAGTTTAGTTCCCAACATCATATGAGGTGGCTCACCTGTAACTACAGCTCCAGGGGAATCTCTGGCCTGTCTGTAATAGCTGCCCTTCACGCTCGTCTGAGCTGTACTCATGTTCATCCAATCCCTCAGGCAAAATGAGAACATTCAAAGGCCCCTCCCCACTGCTGGGAGCCGTATGCAGCTCTGCCAAGATCTGAGAAGAATTCCACAATGGATTCTGCATCCAGCTACCCTATCCCAACCCATACTACACCATGAAGCCCTGCCTTCATCACATGATCCTGACCCCTTGGTTTCACTTTCTCCCATCTCACCCAAGGGCTTATTCACGACTTTTAAAAAAACGTCACCAGGCCAGCACTGTGCCAGGGACTTTCTCACTACCCACCTCTGTCACTGGCTGAACATGGGGTCTGCCCAGTTCAGAAAACGCACACAATCCACACACATTTTCCAAGAACCAGTCTGTGTCCAGCCCTGGCTCACTCCAGGGCCACAGGACCCATCTCTGCCTTCTTCATTCCCTGATGGGGAAGCAGATGTTCACAGAGAAGGACAGGAATGGGGAAGAGAAGGGGCGCTGTCCTGGAAGTTGGGGCTGCTGCCCAAGGAAGCATGAAGCTAGCTGTGCCAGGACGATGGACGGACGGACAGGTGCCTATAATCTGCTCAGAACCACCAGTTGCAACTATTGCCATCCATGCTAGAACACTGAGTAAACTGAGACCCAGAGAGGTCAGTGACTCACCCAAAGTCCTATTACGATAAAAACAAAAAATAAGCCAGGCAGTGGTGGTGCATGCCGTCAAGAGACGGGTGGATCTGAGTTTGAAGCCAGCGTGGTCTCAGAGTGAGTTCCAGGGCTATGCAGAGAAACCTTGTCTCAAAAATAATAATAGCAGGGTATAGATTTGTGGAAATGGATTAATTTAAGCTATAAGAACAGTTAGCAAGAAGCCTGCCACGGCCATACAGTTTGAAAGCAATAATAATAGTAGTAGTAGTAGTAGTAGTAATAATAATAATAACAATAATGATAAAATTAAAATTAAAATAATAATTTAAAAACCGGCCTCGGGCCCTATTATACCAGGGTTTCTCACTGTCCTCACTTGTCTACCAGCCTGCCTTCTTCACATGACTGCCACTTGGTACACCAAAACCAGCACAGAATTCACAGATGGCGGTGCCAAACTTGGGTTCTGGGGAATCTCTGACTCCAAGGTCCCCAAGCCCCTTTCCTCGCTTTCCTGAACCTGGATCTTCATCTGCGACCGGGGGGAAGACTGTTGGCTCTGAAGGCTGTCAACTCGCTCGCGTTCTTCTCTCCTCGACGGGCGGTAGGGGCACTCACCTGTACAGATAGCCAAGCTGCAACAGGTGCAGCAGCGCCAGGAAACGACGCGAGTGCTTCGACTCATGCAGGTCCGCGGGGTCAGAGGTCAGCCAAACCCAGCTGAAGAGCTGCATCTGCACCGAGGAGAGGCCCAGCAGCGCCAGCACCAGCGCGGCCCACACGTAACGGCCACCGAGTACATACTGGACGACGGCCCACAGGTCGGCGACCACGTCCAGCAGGAAAGACAGGGTGCCCACCACGCCCACGACCAGGTCCAAGAACACAGAAGAGCGGAGAGACAAAGGCATGGCCCGCTCCAGCCAGCCTCTCAACCGCGGGCTTGCCCTCCAGCCCGGTCGTCGGGCAGGAAGGGGGCGGGGCAGTCCCCTGAGGGGCGGGGCTGCTGGGCGGAACTTCCCCCTCTCGCCCTGTCCGGGGAGGAGCAAGGCTGCGGCCACGCCCCCAGCCGTCCCGCCGCCCAGACCCCGCCCCCAGCCCACCCTGCCCAGAGCGGCTGCTACTGCAGGTTTAGAGTTTGCGTTTAAGGCTCAAGCAGGCAGGAATGGCCTCAAGGCAAGAGCCTAGAGTCCAGGCCACAGCTGTGATCCCTGACGGTTGCAAAACCAAACAAGAAGACTTTTTAAAAAGTACCTAGGGGTTTTGCAGTCCGGGGGCCCATCTTCCTCGTGGCTCATTTGACTATGGCAATCAAATGCATAGTAGTTTGAAACATATGTATTAAAGGGAATAATGCACAAAGACATGTACCACGAGCATGTTTTGTGGATAAAACGTGAAACTTGGAAGAAATATGCTTCTTAGGGACCTCTCTGGTGAATCCAAATGTCCCATCCTAGTTTATTCTCCGCAGACACGGGAGACTGATGGCGACGGTCATCTCTCCATGGGGTGACACTGCCCAATTTTACCGGGAGAAAGGTAACCCAGTAAGAGGGTAGGTTGTTGGCATTGCCTACAGTCATAGCACCACCAATCCATGCAGGCTTGGCAGCAGAGTCAGCATGAGCAGGAGACCAGGCACCAGCTGAGAGCCAAGGCCATGCAAGCAGGTAGCGTAGGCGTTGAAGGCCACCTGTTGCATAGCACACACATGCTCAGTGCGGCAGATGTCCCCGCAGGTCGAATAGTCATAGCTGACTGAGTTATAGATGTAATAACGTTGCAGCATGTGCTCGTCACTGGCGATGCGGGTCAGGGCCATATCCATGGAGCTGATGCCTGCATCCTGCACCTGGTAGGCGTCTGTCAGGCGGTATTCCAGCTCCCAGTGTGGGGTCTCTTGTGCATTCGCCTGACTCAGGTTCAAGAAGTAGGTCACCATGTCCTGGATTAGAGACACGGGGTATGCCAGTAATGAATAGTTGTTTAGTTCTACCCACAACCCAGCCTGACCCCAGGCTCTCTAGAGCAAATATAACAGCTGCTGTCTGTAACTGAGCATTCAAGCCAGGTATGCCTAGGGGCAGACACCCTGTGCTGGGTTCTGACGAGGTACCTGCACCTATACCCTCATTCTCCTGATGAGGACACGGAGGCCTAAAGAGGTTGTTGTAGTTTGAATCGGAAGCATACCCCACAGGCTCGTTTCGAATGTTGTTCCCCAACTGGTAGCACTATTTTGGGTGGCTGTAGAATTTTTAGGAAGTGGATTCTAGCTGGCAGAAGAAGACCTTTGAAGCTGGTGCTGGATCCATCTCTGCTTCCTGCTCAATGGCAATGAGGCGTCCCTGACACAAGCCACAAGCCTTCCCCACCAGGATGGAGTAAAACACTCTGAAACCGTGATGTTGGTATTGTGGTCACAGTACTGCAAAAGGAACTTTACCTTCTCAGTGTGTGTAAGTATTCAGTGGCAGGGGTGGGATTAGAACCCACATGGCTTAACTCACTATGTCGGTTTCCTGTCCTGCCAAACTGGCAGGACAGGCTCCCCACAGAAGCTCTGATGCTCGGTAAATCTTTACAGAATGACAGGGAGTAATCATTGGCAGCGGGGGTGGGGGTTGGGGGGTTGGGGGTGGTAATGTGGCTGGCTGGCAGAGGTTATAGAACTGTGGCTGTTGGGGTTCACATTCAAATAGGACTCTCTAGGACTCAGCGGTGCCTTCAGAACGGGAAACGCTTTCCCGTGAAACATCTGGTTATTACAGACAGATAAGAGGAGCTTCGGTGAATGGGTGGGAACTGAGTGTGCTGGGCACAGGGCATTATTGCTAAGTCCTCTCTGAACTGTGAGTGCCACTGAACAGAGGAAGCAATGGAGTGGCCATGCACACAACAGGATATACTCTTAAAAGTCCTCAGGGTGCTTGCTTTGGCAGCACATATACTAAAATTGGAACGATACAGAGAAGATTAGCACGATGACACGCAAATTCGTGAAGCGTTCCATATTTTTGTGTGGTTTATAGGCTTTGATTATTTTATATATTTGTAAATGGGATTTTATATATATATGATTTATATATATATATATATGATTTATATACATATGTATATGTGTATATATATATATATATATATGTGTGTGTGTGTGTGTGTGATTTATAAAAAAAAAAAAAAAAGTCCTCAGGCCTGGGGCTAGCAAAATGTATCCCCAGAATCCACATGGAGAAAAGCAAGAACTAACTTTGGCAAGTCATACACACACATATAATTTTTTTGCAATATTTTTTTTCCAGTCCTTAGACCTGAGCAGGGGAGATGGGTTAGTGTTTAAGAGTAGTTTTAGTTTTAATTTTGTGTGGTAGAGTATATGCAACACACATGCAGGTGCCCACAGAGGCCAGGGGAGGGCGTCAGATTCTCTGGAACGGGGGCTACAGGTTGTTGTGAGCTGCCTGATATGGGTACTGGGAACCAAAGGAGTGCCGTGCCAGAGAGAGCAGCACATGCTGTTAACCACTGAGCCATCCCTCACTCCCAAGGCCACTTTCTGCACAACTATGAGGAAAGGGATGTATCCTAGTAGGGTATGGAGACTCACAGCTGAAATCCCAGCACTCAGGAGCCTGAGGCAGAAAGATTGTATCAGGGCTGCAGAGATGGCTCAACAGTTAAATGCATTGTTTGCTCTTCCAGAGGACCCAGGTTCAACTCCCAGCCCCCACATGGCAGCTCACAACTGTCTGTGACTCCAGCTCCAGGGGATCTGACACCCTCACACAGACATACACGCACGGGAAACACCAATACGCATAAAATAAATGATCATTATAAAAAGAAGACGACAAAAGAAAGGTCGCATCAAGTATACGTATACGGCGACAAATCCCGGCTCCGCAGCCTCTGAAATGCCTGTAGGATCAGATACTTGCCGCACTCCAAGGCACCACCCGCTGGCAGCTCTGCCTGTGCCCTGGTCACAGCAGACAAACCTAGTGTCTCTTCATGTTAAGCCAGCGCCTGGCCACTGAGCTGCAGCCACAGCCCCCCTACCTCACCCCCACTTGGAGGCAGGGTCTTCTCACTACGTTATTGTCTGACCTTGAACGCACTGTGTAGTTCATTCAGGCTGGCTTTACATTTCAGTCCTGGGCCTCAGCCTCCCAAGTGCCTGGGATTACAGTCCTGTGCCAGCAGCCGCAGCCACCACCCTGCCCTTCCTGCCTCCCGTGTTTAATTGTATGGATTTGTTTCCTGTCGTCCTCCTGTAGGGATTCTGGTGAAGGAGAGCAGTTATCTGCTCTTTGTGTTGAACAGGGCCTGGCATGTGGCAGGTGAGTAGTGCATTCTGCTGAATGAAGGAAGTAGCGTTTCTTTGTCGTTTCAACAACCCCAGAACATCTTAGGAGGTGAAGATGTCCTCACGGTGTTAGGGGCCGGGGTCCTAGTTAGTGTATGGAAAGGGGCAACGGACTTGAGCTCAGACTGTGGGGAGTCTTCCATCCCAGCCTAAGAAGAGGCAGTTTTATCTTACGGTTCATAAGCTGCGGAGAGGCAATATGAAGTCAGTATTTTAGGAAGATTAATTCCTCCTGGGTGTGGCAGCAAGTAGTGGGCAGTGACAGTGATCCGGGACAAAGAAAGACTTGGGGGAAGAACTGACCTGATGAGGTGGCAGGTGGCTCCAAGGTTCGAACCAACATTCCCTTCCAAGACTCAGTGGAGAGTAAGTAGCAAGCAGATAAGAAAGGTAGTGATACATTTAGATCCCCACCCCCGGCCCCAGCAGACCCACACTCCTAACCTGCAGGTTCAGTGTGACTCGATCGTACTCAAAAACACGGATGCCTGGGTTGTTGGCTCCATTGACCACTCCAGGTAATGTGGTCTTCCATGGGGTGACTCCAGGTGTGAGGAACATGACGCTTATGGGGGCACCTTTAGGGGAAAAGACAGCAGGCTGAAAGGGAGTATGGGAAGAGGAGACCGGCAGGTGGCCAGCTCCCTCGGATGGGGTACCTGCACTGTTATAGAACATCCGGAAGCTGTCGGTATGGTGGTGTCCAAAGAACTGCCCCGCTATGACACGATGGTGCTTCTGGACAACCTTCAGGTACTCCTCGTTGAAGCTCTCTCGGAACCAGGCCTTGTCCTGTGTCTTCTCAAAGAACCCTGGGGGCACGTGGCCAATAATGTACACCTGCGAGAAAGAGGTACTGGGGTCAGAGACGCTCTCTCCAGGCCCCACTTCCACCTTCCCAAACCTGCCCAAGTCCTCAAGGGCAGGCAGACCGGCAAGTGCATCTCCTCTGAACGTAACCCCAAAGCACCTCTTCCACAAACCCTTCCTGACCCTTCAAGGGTGCTCTTCTCTTCTCAGCGCTGGGACTGATCCTCCATGGCTGTGTGAGGACAGTACACCGTCATGTACATTTGTGTTTTATGTTCCTCGGGTCACCCAGGCACTTGGTCACCGTCACAAAAATGTAGAATGAAGGCAGAATTAGGAGCATGTGCTTAGCCAGGGGTGGTGGCGCACGCCTTTAATCCCAGTACTTGGGAGGCAGAGGCAGGAGGATCTCTAGGAGTTCAAGGTCAGCCTTGATAAAGATAGAGTGTGACTGAGTCTTGGGGTCAAACTGCAGCTGGCCACCAGTGGACTATCATCTCTCTGAGCTTCAAGTTTCTCATTTGGAAGAGTATTCACCTGGGGGAGTGGACTGGCTGATTGTGTGTGTCAGCTTGACACAAGATATAGTCATCAGAGAGGAAGGAGCCTCAGCTGAGGAAATGCCTCCATGAGATCTGTAAGGCATTTTCTCAATTAGTGATCAATGGGGGAGGGCCCAACTCATGGTGTGTGGTTCCATCCCTGGGCTGATGGTCCTGGGTTCTATAAGAAAGTAGGGTGAGCCAGGCAGTGTGGTGGCGCACGACTTTAATCCCAGCACTCGGGAGGCAGAGCCAGGCAGACGTCTGTGAGTTCGAGGCCAGCCTGGGCTACAGAATGAGCTCCAGGACAGGCGCAAAGCTACACAGAGAAACCCTGTCTCGAAAACAAAACAAA